GATATCATTTTGGCCTAGGCTATAAACAAGGAAGAAATGTAGAACAAAAAAGATAAAGCAGTACTCCATGTAAATTTTTTTATTTTCCCATGCTGTGGGGTTTTGCCCGTACTGCATGGGAAAACTGCTCGCTTTATCCAAGGATTTAGGGAAGAGTTATACTTACTCTGTCCTCTGATCTTCTGATAAACTGTGCTCCCCCACGTCCAGCGGTGGACTGTTCCTGCGGTCCTTACGCCTGAAGCCTGTCTATGGGTGTGATGACGTCAGGAACAGTCCATTCACAAGACCGCTAGCGTGCAGAAGTGGTGGTGAGGACCGGTCTGACACTCCGAAGATCGGTGGATTCGGTAAGTATATCTTCACTGTTATCATCCCTAGACAAAAATGAGCAGTTAGCCCATACAGTGGCCCCACTGCATGGTTCTAAAATGTTTTCCCAAATTTCTGCTTTAAAAACAAGTAAAGATAATATAATTTACCTTTCTATTTATTAAGGCTAGAAGCATAAGGATTAAAAACAATTCTGCTTTAGTATTTTACTAGCCAAAACCATTTTTTAGTTTTGGATTGGGTGGGGAAGTGTCAGTCCCTCTTTCATGTTCTTATTGCCCTCTGTGTCCTCATTGGGAGGATTATCTTCAGTATTTGTACTGGTGACCACTGTCATCTACAAAGAAAGTGAGATGAAAACCAAAATTCCCAGATCAAGAGGTGAGGGGAACCCTTCCAATGAGGACACCTGTTCCAGGGACACCTACGAGTGGAATTCCCTTGACTCTGGGAGAGTTTTGGAACCTCCTGTTGCGCCTTTGGGTCAGAAGGTATATAGAAATTACCCTAGGGGAGCATAGACAGCAAAATATAAACTGCCAGGGGTTCTTACCCTTCTTTACTCTACCTAAAGCTTAAAATGATTCTAAAGGTTCTTTTTTTTTTTGTAAAATAACAACCATGTCTATATTTATCTGCTGTATGCTGTGTTTTACACAGAGCAGCCTGGATCCTCCTCTTCTCGGGTCACCCCGCAGGCTCTCCTGGCTCCTCCTGTCTATTGGGCGCCCCCACAGCAAGCAGCTGGGGGCACCCGCTGCTCCGTGTGTCCATGCACACATGGAGCCATGACTTGGCCCCACCCCCTCTCTCCTCATTAGCTGACTGGCTGTGATTGACAGCAGTGGGAGCCAATGGCCCCTGCTTGCTGTCTCAGCCAATGAAGAGGCAGAGACCTGGGGCAGCCGAGGCTGTCATTCACATTGCTGGTTTGCAATGAGGCTCAGGCAAGTATTTAGGGGGCTGGGGGAGCTGCTGCACACAGAAGGTTTTTTTACCTTCATGAATAGAATGCATGAAGGTAAAAACCCTTCAGCCTTTACAGCCATTTTAGAAAAAAAGTCAGGCTTTAAAGCAGTATTAACCCCAAGAGTAAACATTTATTATATTGCAGCTTACCAATTTTTAGATGTGATGGCTGTGTTAGTTTCCTTTTTTTGGCTTTCGTTCTTTGATTTTCTTCTGGTGATTCAGCCAGTAAGTCTGCTGTTTTTCCAAAGTTCAAGCTCTTCTGCAGAATGTATCCGTTTACATTGATGAGGCCATCCATTTACCACTGGCAGGGGTGAAAAAAATTATCAGCTCTTATTTATTCATGTAAAACTTTTATCCCAAAAGGAAAAAATACTGTTTGCTGTAACTGATTATAAAGTGTGAGCTGGAGTTTGGGTTCAGTTTGTTATTGTATTAAAATCTGCTAATACATCTAACACTCCCATCCCACCCAGACTGACAATGCTGCTGTCTGCTGTGTCCTGTGCTCATTCCTCCAAAGTAGTGTCTCACTAATACAGAAGGTGTGTTACTGGCCAGATCACCAGGTGAAAACAGAGAGAAAAAAGCCGAAAAAAAGAAAACTAATGCAGCCACCACATCTAATCATTGGTAAGCTGCAATATAATACATTTTTGGTTTTGGGTTTAATACCGCTTTAATTTTGAAAGACAGCATGTCAGCCAGACAACTAGAATTTTCAGAAGGTATAGCAATAAGTATCTTTCTATTTTCTCATGACAGATTTCTCTATGCATTACTTAGTTTGGTCTGTAACAGTCTGATAAAGAGGAAGTGTCAGCCTGCCGATCAGAGCGCTAGTCTGCATCCACTAGTAAAAATAGTGAGACGTGCACTATGTTCCGAAGACAGCTATGCATCTTTACAGTAATGGGAAACCCTGCATGTGCGTAATATATGTGAGAAACAAGAGGTGTGTGAGTGGGACTGGTAGGAGAGACAATGTCAACCAAGGGAGGAGGGAGAAGAAAGAAGGAGGAGAGACGCACTCACACAGCAGTTTGGGGAAAGCAAAGCAGAGGGGACAGCAGAAGAGTCAAGTGCATGGGACTGATCACTACAGAGCCGAGCTGTCACATTGGGAGGGAAAGCTATTCCTAGTAGGTGAGACACTGCATGTTATCTCAGAGCAAATATACCATCACAAGGGTATAGAAATATTACTCAGGTACTTGTAACACTTGAAAACTTTTTTGTAATGGACATGCTTTTTTTTTAGATGATTTTATTTTTATTTATTTTGATGTTATTATTATAATACAGGATTTATATAGAACCAATAGGTTGCGCAACGCTACAAAATAAAAGGGGTCAGTACATTTACAATGCAAGACAAGAAGGTTAGGACAGTTAAAAAAAAAGCAGATCTCTTAGATATCTAATGTAATGGAGAACATAAAGTGACCCGGGCATGGTTAATGCAGAAGGATTATGTTGTAGTTTAATGAATAATAGATGCAGAGTCGATTAATATATTCAATTTTGTTATTTTTATTTTGTTTTACATATGACAATGTACGTTATGTATTGATGGTACGTACATCCATATCTAAAAACAAAGCATTGTAAAAAAAAAAAGCAGGGGTCTAGATAAGGAAGAGTGTTGGGTGAATGTTGAAATTAAATATAGAAGTATGAGCTAAATGTTCTAGTAGTGGAGGATGTTGTAGGAGGTGTATGTTACCTCAATAATGTTGGTTTTCTCTGATATAGATATGAATTTCTATAATGTCTAAGCTGATGTAGGCAAAATATACCTTACTCTACTTCTCTTAGATTGTAAGCTCCAAGGAGCAGGGCCCTTCCTAAACCTCTTGTTTTGAAGATTGTAAGCTCCAAGGAGCAGGGCCTCCTAACCCTCTTGTATTGAACTGTATCGTTGCTGTATTCTCTCCCATTATATTGTAAAGCGCTGAGCAAACTGTTGGCGTTATATAAATCCTGTATAATAATAATAACTATATCGTTGCTGTATTGTCTCCCTTTATATTGTACAGCGCTGAGCAAACTGTTGGCGCTATATAAATCCTGTATAATAATAACAACTATATCGTTGCTGTATTGTCTCCCTTTATATTGTACAGCGCTGAGCAAACTGTTGGCACTATATAAATCCTGTATAATAATAACAACTATATCGTTGCTGTATTGTCTCCCTTTATATTGTAAAGCGCTGAACAAACTGTTGGCGCTATATAAATCCTGTATAATAATAATAATATTCCTACCAAACTGGCAATTTGTTTCAAACAGGGATTAGTGCCTACTAGTGAGGAAAAAAGTTAAAGTTGGAGAGATTTGTGTTGCTAAGGGCAGCTTTGTCCTCCAGACATATGTCATATGTATGGACCGATAGTGTTTAATTATAAAGCGCTGAGCAAACTGATGGCGCTATATAAATCCTGTATATTCATAATAATAATAATAACTGACACTGTACTGGTTATATGCAGGTATAAGCATAGCTGGCCTTTTCAGTGTTATGGCACAGATTCCATAGAGAGGTATAAGTACCAGCAGCAAACTGTGTTTAGATATGTAGATAGTTTGGTTGAATTGAATACATCTGCATTCATGTATGTTTGTGTTCAGTATACATACAGTGTGTGGGGTGAGTTAGGGTTGGGTGTGTCGGTGGGGACAGAGCTGTGTGTACAGACAAGTGTTGTGGTGCGTGCTCCTCGCTTACTCATAGCGTATCTGTGCTGTGCACCTGTCACTGAACTGGGGGCGTTTGATTGCTGCTGTGAGCTGATAAACTATGGCCAAGTCTAGCAAGAATGTGAACGCGGAAAACACAACTCTGTCACTTCTCGCCCTCTGCCGTTGCTCCTACATGCAGCCTCTGGCACATAATCAATACCTTCAAGTGACTAGAATTGACAGCTGCAACTTCAGTAGTATGAAATCAATGCTAATACGCCTCTTACTTGTACAGATTCCAGACTGCAAAGCTTTGAATGTGTAATGACTTCTTGTGTCCTTATTCGAAGGCTCCATCTATATCTCTGGCCCTTCATCAGGACCAATAGTTCATATATTTCTTTTAGGTAAATCAAGTTAGAATCTATTCAAAACTGGCCATACTCCTGTATTTTATTTGAAAATATTCAGAATGTGCGTTCAATTTTCTGATAGTTAATGGGGTCAAGTCTACGTTCATTGTTGGCCATAATGACAAAAAAAAAATAATCAAAGGAGCAGGATGGAAATTTTTCTCAAATAAGCGAAATTCTAACAGCGGTTGTGGTTTTACATTTTGGAAATTCCATCCATTACAAATTTGAATATTAAAAGCAAATTAAATTTTGAACAACATCTCTGATGACATTATAGCATGTGCTGCTGAGATTTTTCCTATGAACATATGTATGAAAATCTACCAGTGAATGGTCAACTTTACTGTACTGGTGACATTGTGCTGAATTATTGACTGTTTATCTCTGTGGCAGGAGTTAAGAGGCAATTTACATATGAAGATGGACAGCTTGGGAATATTAAATGGAGGAAAACCTGAGTAGTATGAAGAGTTCCATTTCTGAATCAATGCAAGGAGCATTTTACAAGACATGTGATATACCACTTAGAGGGCACGCTACGGCAGGAACGACCAATGAGGCACCATCACTCCTTTACCCCATGTCATCATCACCATGTTAAAGGAGGGGAGCGAGACATACACAGAGGACGTCATTTATATAGTCCTAGAAGTGGTCATTGCCATCCTGGCCATTCTTGGCAACGTGTTGGTCTGCTGGGCTGTGTACATTAACAGTAACCTTCAAAACGCCACCAATTACTTTGTGGTATCCTTGGCTGCAGCAGATATTGCGGTGGGTGTCCTTGCCATCCCATTTGCTATCTCAATTAGCACTGGATTTTGCACCACCTTTCATGCCTGCCTCTTTATTGCCTGCTTTGTTCTGGTGCTGACACAGAGCTCCATCTTCAGTCTCCTCGCCATTGCTTGTGACCGCTACATTGCTATCCGCATCCCACTCAGGTAAGTGATTAAAAATATTTATGTCATTCTGATCAGTCTAAACCTGAGTAAATGTTGCTTCATGTTATCTTTAGGTATCTCTTGCTAATTTGTTGCTTTTTGGCTATTGACATTCCTGGGCAGCACAGTGGCTAAATGGTTAGCACTTCTGCCTGGCAGTACTAAGGTTGTTGGTTCAAATCCCAACCACAGCACCCCTGCCTAGAGTTTGCATGTTCTCCTTGTGCCTACGTGGGCTTCCTCCAGGTACTCTGACTTCCTCCCACACTCCAAAGCCATGCTGGTAGGTTAATTGGATCCTGTCTAAATTGGCCCTAGAATGTGAGTTAGAGATCTTAGATTGTATGCTGCTTGAGGGTTAGGGACTGATGTGAATGTACAATATATATACGTGTAAAGTGCTGTGTAAATTGATGGTGCTATATAAGTACTTGTAAAAATAATAAATGACAATGGGACATTAAAGCAGAGTTCCAGTTGAATTAAAAAAAATAAATCAAAAACTCAGCAGCTCCAAAAACTGGTTCAACAAGCCATCTTCTCTCCCTGGTGCCAGCTTGCCTAAGTAGTGCTGCACTTTGTGAATGGCCCCATAGTCTTCTGGGGCCTGTCCCATGTCCCAGAAGACAACAGGGAGGGAGGACAACCTCTGCTTCCAATTGCAGCGGAAGTGAGAGCAGGTACCCACTCCCCAAAGGTGCCAATCTTTAATGGGGAGCGGGGGACAAAGGCTTAAAGCGGAACTTCCCCTTTTTGGTGGAGCTCCACTTTAACCTGGCTAATTTATTACAGAGTGTACTTGTCCAAAGTGCTAAACTGTGTGCGTGTGTGTATTACACACACACACCTTGAGAACTGTGACTCCCCGAAACGTAGCTGGAATAAAGCTGTCACAAGTGGAAGGCCTTTGAGTGCCTACAGTACTTGCTGCTACATCATTTGCTATATGTGGATCACCAAGCATATGTTTTGTATGGAGGGCTGATTGATACCACCTTCCTTTGCCTATATACTATAATATATATATATATATATATATATATATATATATATATATATATATATATATATATAAAAAGACACTTATTCCAGGAACTTTTTGGGAACTTGGGAGCTCCAGGTTAAACATATGAAAACATTTTTGCAGATAGCACCTTGGTGACAATCGAACCTAGACACCCAGGACTGCCGAGCTGGAGTCCCAAGTGTAATCTTATAGTGACCCTTCCTGGAGCACAACTATGGGGGTCCCCATGCCCTGTCACTGAAAACATAAGATTTATCTGAGAAAAAAAGGCAGAAGAAGTGGAGAAGGGCAAAGAACTCATCCATATTATTCCTTAAACATCTCATGCAATTTATGCAAACTTTTTATACTGATCTCCATTTCATGCTTCAGTTGCCATATCCTTGTGTAAACCCTCAGACCAGTAGATTGTAGTTATTCTTTACATAAGATCATTATTGCTCATCTCTACACCCACGCCTTCCGCTTGTCCAGTTTCATATCTTCTGTGCTATTTTTATAATATCTGTTAATGAACAGTATGTAAGTATATTACCTCTTCTCTGTTACCCAGGTTAGAATCACACTGTTGCATTTTGTTTGACGCATGTTTGCGCAGGCACAGCAGCCTATTCATTTGAATGGGGTACTGCACCTGTGGAAACATGCAGGGAAAATGCCTCTGCACCTTTTTAAATTTGCAGCTGCATAGAAATCAGCTCTGTTTTCAGATGTGTGGGGATGCCATTAAGAATGAACGGCATTACCGAGCATCTGCAAAAGAGCAGCAAATTTTGTCTGTGGGTGCAGGAGCGCTTGAGATTAACACCCGCACCCACAACTACTGTGGATATAAAAAGTCTACACACCCCTGTTAAAATGTCAGGTTTATGTGATGATAAATCATTTCAGAACTTTGTCCATCTTTAATGTGACCTATAAACTGTACAACTCAATTGAAAAACAAACTGAAATCTTTTAGGTGGAGGGAGTAAACATAAAAAACTAAAATAATATGGTTGCATAAGTGTGCACACCCTTAAACTAACACTTTGTTGAAGTACCTTTTGATTTGATTCCAGCACTCAGTCTTTTTGGGTATGAGTCTATCAGCATGGCACATCTTGACTTGGCAATATTTGCCCACTCTTCCTTGCAAAAACACTCCAAATCTGTCAGATTTTAATAGGGGTGTGTAGACTTTGTATATCCACTGTATCTGCCACAGTGTGAACCTAACATTAAAGCCTACTTAGAAAAAGTCATAACCTAATAAGATTTGACAAATCCACTCTCTTGCACTGTGTAAATATTTCCATTTCCCTTTATTATCTAGAATAAATACAACGTGAAAATAAATACATTCAGCCCTGGTTCACACTGATGCATTTCTAATGCAGTTCAGATCTCATTAAACCGCATGACAAGTGGAATAATGCTAATATCTATGGAACCTGTTCACATATACGCAGCGCGGCTGCGATCCATTTTTTGAAAAGGGTCCTTTGTGAGTTTGCTGCGTTGCAGTGCGATTCTGAGGTCCATAAACGTCAATGGAATTGCTTTCAGATTGCTTATCCATCCTATTGTCATACAAATTCAAGCACATTTTTTCTTCTAGTCTTTGCTTTGCTCACACAGCACAGAAATCACAGCTGTATCCAAATTGTGTCCAAATCGCATCAGAGTTGTATTGGAACCGCACCTCCATGGGCATCTAATACATCTCAATGGTCAGCGCTATGCAGTGGCTGCAGGTCCCGGGAGAGTATTTATTCAGGTCTACATGCTGTATGGCTGTGTGCATGAACCCTAATCGTCTGAAACTCAAAACGGGCCCCTATATTGTGTGTGCGTTTTATGCATGCTTGGGGTATAGAAGCAGACCAAAAGGTCTTTGATATGCAAGGTCTATATGAATGGATCTGTAAATTTTTGAGGAAATATTTGAAGGTCTAATTAAATGAGTAAAGACATATTTTATATATTCTATTGAATCTACATTTACCTAGATTCACAAAACTATGAATTAAGAGCTCGTTCACACTTGACTTTATTTCTAAGGGCTCGTTCACACTAGGCTGTTTTGCCAACGCTTGCCAAACGCCCCTATAGCGTTTGGCAAGCCTTGGTCCGGTGTTTGCGGAGCGTTTTTAACGCTCTGCAAACGCTCCGCAAACGCCGCATGCACGGTTTAGCGGCGGTTGCTAGGCGTTTGCCGAGCGTTAATAACGCCCCACAAACGCCTATAATGCATTTGAGTGGTGTTACCGCTCCGCAAACACCCCGCAACCGCGTCGCAACCGCACCGCAAACGCCGGCCGGGGCGTTTGCGGAGCGGCACCATAGACGAGAATAGGAGGCTTCAAAGCCTCCTGACTCGACCAGAGGCGTCCGTTTTGCCGCAACGCAACGCGACGCGACGCAAACGCTCCTGTTAGAACAGCACCATGTGCTGTAATGTGCAGAATTGGCAGAGGCATTTGGGAAGCGGTAAAAACGCTTCCCAAACGCCTCTCTGCCGCCTGCACACAAGGCTAGTGTGAACGTAGCCTAACTCTTGCCAAACGGCCCTATAACGTTTGACAGGCGTTAGACAGGCGTTTGGGAAGCGTTTTTAACGCTGCTCAAACGCTCCCAAAACGCCCTATGCATGGTTTTGAGGTAGTTGATAGGCATTTGCCAAGCGTTAAAACCGCACCACAAACTCCTATAATGAAGTTAAATGGTATTAACGCTCCGCAACTGCATCGCAACCGCACCGCAAACACCAGCCAGGCGTTTGCGGAGCGGCACCATAGACTTGAATGGGAGGCTTCAACTCCTCCGGACTTGACACAAGGGGGTTTATTTACTAAAGCTGGAGAGTCCAAAATCAGACTCCCTTCTGCATAGAAACCAATCAGCTTCTAACCTCAGCTTGTTCAATGAAGCTTTGGCAATGAAACCTGGAAGCTGATTGGTTTCTATGCAGAAGTGAGTCTGATTTTGCACTCTCCAGCTTTAGTAAATAAACCCCAAGGTGTCAGTTTTGCCGCGACGCTAACTCTTCCGTGTGAACAGCACTGTGTGCTGCCATGTGCAAAATTTTAAAAACGCTTCCCAAACGCCTGCTGACAAAGCTAGTGTAAGCATAGCCTAAAAGGTGCACATTTAGCAATACCTCATAACCCGTCTTAAGGCTCCATGCACACTAATGTTTTTTTAAAGCTCAAAAATGCTGGATAAAAAACACTGGTAATAGAGTTTTAGTACCATTTAGGAGTGTTAGCATTTTATTAGCTTTTTTACAGTACATGTAGGAAAAAAAAGCTAGAAAAAAGATGTTAGGAGTGTTTTAGTAGAGTTTAGGAGCGTTTAGCATTTATTTTCTGCTGGAAAAATGCTCCCAAAAACTCTACAAGAACATTTTTTTTTCTGCTCCTAAACTCTGAAGCTTGAAAAAAGCTACTAGTCTAAAGTAGTGTGCATGGACTCATAGGATAACATTATATTTATCTTCTAGGAACAGAAAAAAAATGCTAATAACCGCTTTTAGGCGCTTAAAAAAAACCTTAGTGTGCATGGAGCCTAAGGTTGGTTCACACTGTTGCGATTTGGGATCCCGATTTGTGAGGCCCCAAGACGCATGAATTGTGAAATCCCATGTTAGTCAATGAGAGCTGTCTTAATTAGCACTACTGAAATTGCTCTGACTTTAGAAAAGGTTCCTGTACTACTTCAAGGTGACTTCTATCTGACTTGTGCCCATAGACTTTAATGGACGTTGCTTTCAAGTCGGATTCTCGTCTATATTGATGTGATTTGGATCCGGCATTACAGGAGGATTACCCAGGCATTCCCTGAAAGTTGTTCAGAGTACTACTTCAAAGTAGTACTCAAGTCACACTGTAAGTTACGTGACTTTCAGGTTGTAGTAGTGTGAACTGAGACTTACAGTTGTCACTGGGCAAAAAGTGAGGGAAAGTCTCTTTAGTAACAGGTGTCACGTGGA